CTACTCAGTCCTACATACTGGGGCATGGGCCCCGTTGTTTGAGGCCAAGACTAACTATAGGCATTTCTGACCCCTTGTGGGTGGGAGAGTGTGTGGCTCAGTCTGCAGGGAAATGAGTCTCTAATGACAGATTCCCAGGTGAGGGCGGAGGTAGCCAGGTGCCTGCTGCAGCACTTGGGTGGGGAGCCCGGTGGTGATACTGGAGACTCTGCCACATGATGGCGTTTTTGGGGGTGTTGGGAAGAAAGAGCTGAATAATTTGTGGCAGACTGAAGCCTAATTGGCAGAGGGATTTTTTTAAAGACAAGGAAGTCTAATACACTGTTGTAAATCGCTCACATTCTTGAGTTTTAAGCCTTCTTTCTCCTAAAATATTTTGGTGGAAGTCAAGAAGGGGCTGAGGCCCATGTCTCAGTTAGAGCAGAACAGAGAAAGGAAAACAGCCCCAAGGGGGGCCAAGAGTCCTAAGGGGGAGCCCACAACCGAGCACCAGCCAGAACAAGAGGCCCTGCCGTGGACGGGGCCTCTGAGATGCAGGTATCACGGCAGAAACCCGAGTTCCTTGTGCCTCCACCTCTTTGCTGTCACTGTTTCCTCCTCCCCTCTAAATTAGAGTCCCCTGAGGATGGACTATCTCTGCCTTTGTATCAACCACTGTGCACACCAGAGATTTTGGGAACACGCACCTCCCCTGCCAACTGGACAAACAGCCTCCGGAATCCATCATCGATGTCATCCTCACTGATGTCAATCTGGAAGGCGAGGATGGAGTGAGAAACATGGGTCAGGGCAAAGACAGACAGCAAGGTGCCCCCTGTGGGCAGCCTCTCTGCCCCTTCTGCTTCTCGTGGGTCTGAGCCCAAGGTTGCTCGGATCAAGATAAAGGCCAGTGGGAAGAATTTAAAAATAATTTTTTTTCCTATTAAAAACAGGGTAGGGAATACAAATGTGGAAGTTATAGTCTAATGCCTCACATAGGTGTCTTCTCTGATGTGCACCCAAATGGCCTTTTATGATCTATTCTCAAGGGATTCAGAGGCATGAAGACTAGCCAGAATGTTCTAGGACTCAACAGTGGCTAGTGAAGACAGCCCACGGGCCCTTTGGAGTCATGGCTCTCACTGAGGACACAGGGCCCATGTGGGGCCTGATCACCAAGCCATTTTGGATCTGCGGCAGCAGAGGGCACCCTCCTGCCTGTGGTATCCTTTTCCCTGGCTTTGCGTTTGTTATGGGTGGGATGGCAGGGCACCTGTGCCAGTCTCACCATCCAGCACTCTGATGTTACAGATGGGCAAACTGAAGCCCAGATGAGGCGTCCACCTTGCGTGGGTCAGCACCCTGGCATGTCCCCCATGCCCGCCAGCAGATCTGAGCCCCTCATGGGCACAGGGCAGCCACATGGCGCAGGGCGGGCTGGCTTCATGAAACCCCAGGGTACTTCCTGATCCTCTACCCTGGCCTGTCTCCCATGGAGGGGGTGGGACCCAGGATTTACCTCCTCAAGGTCGGCCTCGATCTCATCATCCACAATTCTGAAAGCAGAAGGAAACTTGGAATCACTGCTCAGACAAAAGAGCAGCGCTTGCAGCTGGAGTGAGTGCAGGCATTTCTCTGCGCCAGTGACCCCTGCATCACAGAAATCTGAGCAGAAATGTCCAGGGGAGGGTCACAGCCAAAACAACTCAGAGAGCCAGGCTCCGTGTGGTCTTGGTCCACGTGCACAGCCTTCCCACATGGCATGGGTCGTGGGGACCTCTAGGGTGGAGAGCCAGGCTCCGTGTGGTCTCGGTCCACGTGCACAGCCTTCCCATGTGGCATGGGTCATGGGGACCTCTAGGGTAGAGAGCCAGGCTCTGTGTGGTCTCAGTCCATGCACACAGCCTTCCCATGTGGCACTGGTTGTAGGGACCACTCAGTCCCTGGCCGATGAGCTGCTTTGCAGCTCCATTTGAGACACCCTTTGCCATTGTGAATCATCCACACTAAGACTCAGGCTGTGTACATGCTGCCCTTCTTCTGCTGGGTTGGAGAGGGCAGGCAGCTGGAGGCCTGTGGGGGTTTCCACCAAAGCCAGGGCCAGTTTTTGCCATGCACGGGCCCTGTGCCAAGCTTTAGCCAAAGAGGGGGACCTGCTAGTAGCAGGGGAGCTGTGGCTGCGCTGAAGTGACCGTGCTCAGCAGCAGCCCAGTCTTCTCAAGGAAGTCACTTCTCTGCTGTGTATTGTCTTGGCACATGGGTAGTGCCCCGCTTCTCCCTCCCACTGCCCTCTCACCCTATAGGAGCCTGCAGGTCAGGTGGCTGACCTGAGCCAGCCCTTCACTCTTTGCTGGGCCTTTGGATCTGAGCAGGTGGCACTAGGTCAAAGGGGATGCATCAGTTGCCATGTGCCCTGCTTCCCACACCCCTCCAGCCCATCCTTGGTCTGCTCTTTCCAGCAGGCCCCCAGCTCCCATTAGTCCAAGACCCCAGAGACCTTTCAGTATATCTTTGACTTTGGCTGCCCAAGGATGCTGGTGTCTCATGCAGTCGACTCAACAGACACAGAGGAAGCAGCAGCCAGAAAGGGTCCCCAGAGAGCTGGGATGCAGTAGCAGGGGCCTCAAGGTCCAGGCCACCGAGATGGCCCCTCTCACCTCGGCCCTGCAGGCAGGTGGGGGCAGCAGGGACTTTGCGAGCACCGCCCACTTTTTGCAAATGATGGACTGGGTTCACAGTCAGTCCAACACCCGGTGTTGAACTGGAGATGCCAGCGTGGCCTCACAGACTCAACCCTGAAATTAGACTGCCACCTGCTCTACAGCCACCCTTCGCTAATAAAAGTACCCCGAGTGGCTACTTCTTTGTGTACTTGAGTACAAGCTAAAAGTCCTTCGACACATCAGGCCCCACACTCAGCCTTTGAAGCAGAAGAGCGGCTCAGGAGGAAAGGGCTCTGGAGAGCCGGTGGGAGTGGCGGGTGGAGAGGGAAGGGCCGTGACTTACTGGTAGTCAGCCTTCTTTTCAGAGAAGACCCCCACTTACTGGTAGTCAGCCTTCTTTTCAGAGAAGACCCGGATGCAGAAATCCCCATCCTTGTTGGGCTCGAAGGTGGAGGGAACCAGGATGTACTCCCCTGGAGGGAGCTTGAAGCGGTTGAGCACCTCACGCAGGTTGATGAAGGTGTCCGACCGCTCCCTGGCTCTGTGTGTCAGGAAGAAGTTCTTGCTGAGGTGGACACTGGTCTGGCCGGTCATCTGATGAATAACCAGAAACAAGGGGGTGGTGGGCAGGAAGGGCCCCAAGTCCATGTCATTTTCGCTCGAGCCACAAGGCGAGTCCCTTGACATAAGTCAACTTTCTACCAGAAACGATGCCAAGGATGCCCCCACACCTGCCCAGGGCCCTGCGCACCCTGCAGAGCTGGGAACGGGATCCAAGCTCTTTCCATGTGGCCCGTGGGCCATGCCTCCCTTCAGGTCTGTTGTGTGGGCACTACAGGGCTCCTTGAAGAAACTCCTGTGGCCGCAGGGCCACACGTCACCCAGCCAGATTACCCAGCACAGGCTGTGACGGGCGCGGGGACCCCCACATGCCATGTCCTGAGCTCGGACCAGCCTGAGCTCAGACCAGGACCAGGGTGCGAGCACCCTCACCGGGGGCTGTGCTTCCTGCCACAGCCCCTGCTCAAGCTCAGCAGACCCCTGAGCCAGTGGTCTGGGACTTCTACTGGGTCACCCTGAGTCCCAGGGCCTGGGGCTGATGTCTGCCAGACGCACCTCCTCTGGAACCTGCAGAGATAAAGGAGAACGGGCTTAATTCAGATTCTGGGAAAGCTGCATAGACTGTGGGACAGAAATGGCATCACTGTGATGGTCTCCTTTGCTGCCCCCTTGCTCTGTAGCTTAGCAATGAACAGCCTAGTAGCAGCTTTCCACATGAAGATCTTATGATCGACAGTCACTTGGACAGCCCTTACCACCACCCCTGATTTATAGACCACAAAACTAAGGCACGGAGCAGTGGAGTGGATGGTCTGAGGTCACTAGCCAGCTATGGCATGGCCCACACGCCACCTCCCACAGGCCATGTGGTGCCCTCTAAGCGGAAGCCACAGGCCCAGGTCCAGGCTCATCAGCCTCAGGCTGATGTCCTTTGGCAAGCCACTTCCTCTGTATGGCCTCAGTTTCCTTATCTCTAAAATTGGACCAAATGGTCGGCCAATCCTCCCCATGGGGTGGGGCCATGTCACACGTCAGTCTGCATTTCCTAGAGTTATTCTCAGGCCTGAAGCCCCCAACTCCTATTTAGATACCCAGGGACTTCGAATTCTTCACATTTTCTGGACTGACAGTGTTTGCCTAGTCTGGTGGGTAAGCAGGCAGATGGGTGATTGCCTGGGGCGGCCACGTGGCCAGTGGTGAGCAGCAGGGCTGGCCAGACACGGTGTGTTTTTCCAATGGAGTGCTCGGAAGGTGGCGTGCGGGGAGGTGGGAGCCCCGGTTTACAGCACATTGGGTCATTCCTCTGGCCCAGCCCAGCATGGACAGGAGGCAATAGGTGGCTGCCGTCTGACCTTGCTGACCCAGGCTAAGCTGGGCTGTTCTTTGCTGGTGCAGACTGGATGGCCATGTGAACAGTGAGTGTCTGAGTGGGGACCAGGGCCCAGTCGGCCAGCATGGGCGTGAGCAGTGACAGCTGTGCCAACCCACGCTTTGCTCCCCCCCCGAGGGGCCGCGGGCTCAGCTCCACCCTCACCAAGGGCAGGATACTGTCCTCAGACCTGCTGCAGGTAACTCCCAGGTCTGACCAGGCCCCTGGCCACGCCCCCCATCTGGGGTTCCGTCTCTGGTGCTGCCTCCGGGGTTGCCCTGCTCGCACCTCATAGATGCCGAAGCCGATGGTGTGCATGTCCTCGCCCATCTTCCTCTGCCGCCGCCGGTGCTTCTGGATGAGGCCCACCAGGAATGTGCAGCCACTCTCGCCATTCTCCTGGTCCTCGTCCTCCTCCTCCAGCTTGACCAGGTACTGAGGATTCATCCAGAAAGTATCTGGGGCAGAGAGAGTGGGTCAGCCACTGTGCAGGGGCCTGGCCTGAGCAGTGTGAGGTGGGGAGGCTCTGCAGCTCTGAAGCCACAGGGGTGTGAAGGGGAGAGACTCGGCAGGCCTGGGCAGAACCGGTCATGACCGGACTAGAGCACAGCCCCTTGGGTGGGGTCCGCGGAGGCGCAGAGGACGCCTGCACACCAGACTCTTGCAGGACTTACGTGAGGACCACTAGCACTCGGACTCTGGCTGGCTTGCCTCAGGACTGTTGTCACCTTGCACAGGGTAGTCAGAACGGTGACATCCCACCTGGCCCCTAACAGTCAGAGGGGCCGGCTGGTCTGCCTGAGGCTCCCACAACCTCAGTGAGCCAGACACCAGGATGCCCTGTGCATGACTTTGGTTCTTGTTCTGTGACCCCTATCCCTGCCCACTCCCATGGTGTCTCTACCCTCCTCACTTTCAAAGCCTTTTACAGGAAGGATCTGAGATCCAGTCCTGTTTGAGTGTAATTATGCCGACTGCCTTCTTTACCTAATGGGATAAGATTCCGACTGTGTAAATACAGGCATCATCTGGTGCAGGGGCTGGCAGACCTGGGCTGTGGGCTGTGAGCCACTGATTTTGCAAATAAAGTTTTATTGGGACACAGCCATGCCCATCTGTTTTTAAGGCTGACCTCCTTCAGGCTACAGCAGGAGTTGAGTAGTTGCAGAGACTGACCCACAAAGCCGAATGTGTTTACTCTCTGGTTCTTAGAGAGGTTCTGCTAACCCCTGATCTACTTACTGGGTAGGAGAAAGATTCGTATCTGGGGCAGAAGACCTTCCCAGCACCTCTGAAACTGCCACTTGGTGGCTGCATACTTAAGGTGAAGGATTAAAAGTGCCAGAGCTAGAGATACGGATCCGGAAGCCCCAGTCTGACCACTTGCTGACCCAGGTATGCCACTTGAAGCCTCAGTTTCCTCATCTGTGACAGAGTCAGTATATGACCGTGACTTGCTGCCACAGCACTTAGAGTGGCTGCCTGGGTTCTAACCTTACTGGGTTGTGCGGCCCTGGGCAAGTCACTTAACTCTACAAGCCTTAGTCCCCTCATCTTAAAGATGGAGTTGATTATAAAGTGCTGCCTCAGAAGTTTGCTGTGGATATTAAATGGAATAACATATATAAACACTTAGCACAGTTCCCAGCACCTGACATGGGCTCCATAATCAGCAGAGGTCATTGTGATTGATAATTTCTGAGGGAGGGGAGGGCTGAGTCATTGAGGCAGGGAAGGGGCATCAGGGACAGGCCAGAGGAGGCATCCTCACCCCCATCTGAGCAAGGCCCTACTGACATCCACCAAGTGAACTGGGTGCAGAGGGTGCTGTACCACAGGTGGGTCTGGATATACAGGGAGGGGACCAGGCTGGGGATCAGGCTCCGCTGTGGGCCAGGCTGCTGGGCTGGGCATGGCCTCTGTGCTTGTGGTGCAGGGCAGCCTGTCTTGGGTTCTGCTTAGGCAGGAAGGCAGCCAGCCCAGAGCAGGGCTAAGCAGACAGAAAGGTGTTGGGATGGAGCTGCAGGGAGGGGAGCCTCACTAGGGTAGTTCCTGCAGCCTCCTGCAGTGGAGCCCCGCCTCCAGCTCCCATCCATCTTGGTCAGTTTCCACTTCTTGTAGGAGTCGCTGGTAAGGGTGTCCGGGGTCAGGTTGCAGATCTCCAGGCGGGAATAGTGCCGCAGGAAGTCACTAAAAGACATCCTGCCGGGATGCAGGAACACAGGCATCCAGGTGGACAAGGGGACTTTCCACCATGGTCAGACCAGGAGCCAGGAGCCAGGAGCCAGCGCCTCGGGCTACAGTTGTAGGTCGGCAGCCAGAGGTGCAGGTTCCCATCCTGGCACTGCCACTTTCCACCTGGGTGCAGAGCCAGTCAAATCCCTGAAGCTGGGAGTGCTCATCTGTCAGAACGGGACCTGGGTGCCAGGAAGCCACCATATGGGCATGTATTTGGTGGACTGCACACTGAGTCAGACGTGGCAGATGCACATGTGGGGGGCCACTGCTGCTTAAGGACCAATGCTCTCTAAGGTGCCGGGATGAATCCAGGGCATGTTGGGAGAAAGGCCCACCTTCCCTTCCTCTTGGGCTCTGAGTGTCAAAGGTCCCCTTAGCCTTCCCTGTGAAGCAGCTCAGTTTTTACACTCATTGCTGAGGTGTACAAATTGTACAAATCAAAGAGGCTTAAGAGTTTTTTGTTCAGGGTCTTTGAGCAAATTGAAAAGAACAAAACCCAGATCCCATGCCCCTTGCCCTCGGCGGGATGACTGCACTAGTTGTCTAGTGAGGGCCACCAGGCAGACACCTTCCCCGAAGCCTCCAGGAATCTCACCAGAACTCTCCATCCTCATGCCGCCTGGTCAGCCTCTCCCTCACCTCTGGGTCGATGGTGTTCCAGTTCGGGCAGCTGGAAAACCAATGGGACAGGTGTGAGAAGCCAGTGCAGGGCAAGGACCTCTCCTCAAGGCTCCCCAAGGGTAGGACATGCTCTCTCGCCTCCAAGGGCTGGACCCCAGCAAGGGAGGGAAGTGATGCCCAGGTGGCTAAGAGCTGTAGGGGAGCAGGTATGAGGGCATGTTATCCTGGAAGATGGTGGCCAGGAGGGATGCAGCTCCTCAGAGATGGGGTAGTGTCAGCAGCTGCACTGGGGTGAGCTTGTTTAAGGGGCAACTGAAAATCTGATGAGGAGCTCATCTTGGCATCTGTCAGCTGACCTGGAGGCCCCTGCTGGTGCCCCCCTGCCTGGAAGGAAGGAGGTGGAAGATCTGCAGAGGGTGGGCTGTTGGAGCAGGAGAACATGAGAGGGACTCACAGGGGGCTTTACCCAAAGGTCACAGGGTTCAGGCCCACAGGATGCTCCAGGGTCAGTGGAGGGATTTGATCTGGTCTTGGGAAGTATACATCCTTGGAGCAGAACAAGTGCTTGTGGGGAGAGGGATGAACTTTTCCCCTGAAGGCCCCATGGAGGGGTGGCTCCGAGCTTAGCTCGGTGATGGAGGGAGAGAGCTCATAGGAGCCCCAGGTTGAACGTCTCCAGGGGCCACCTGCCCATGGGCTCCTCTCGCTGAGCCCTGTCCTCCCAGGGCCTTGTCCCCTCTCCATCTCTCCAGGGGCCTGATCCTCCTCACTTGTCATTCCACCTCCCGGTCCACTCCACCTCTCCCCAGGGATTCCGGATGCGGACCAGCTTCTGCAGGCTTCCTCTACTTTCAACCTGATGGAGGGTTGGACAGAGGAGAGGAGGGGGAGGTCAGGGTCAAGCCAGGCCTGGAGGGTCTTGGGCCCAACCTCCTCCGCGAGCCTAGGGGGCTGGGTCCACACCAGAGGAACACGCCAGGGAACTGGCTGCCCAGCGGAGAGCCCCCAGGAGCAGCCTTGGAGGCCCAGGCTTGGAAGCCTCTCTGTGGGGCTGAGGGCAGATGCCCTGGCTTTTCTGTAGACTTGAAATCTTTCAAAAGAAGATGTACATTGGGGGAGCATAAAAAAAGTTCAAGGTTAAAATAAAAAGACACTGGCCATGTCAGAGACTGGGGTCTAGTCGGGGCCATTGTAGCTTTGTTCTTAAGGGAGCTCGAGCTGCCCACTAATATCTGTGGTGACGACCAGAGCAGCTGTCCTGAGGCGTCCACGTAAATGGCTGCGTCAAGGGTCAGGCACAGCCTGAACACACACGTAACTTGTCTGAATCACCGTGACAGCCCTACAGCTGATAGTGCCATTGTTTCTAATTTAAATATGAGGAACCTAAGGGGCAGAGAGTGTAAGCAGCCTGCCCCACACCACACCTCAGGCACAGAGCAGACAGGCTGCGCTCCATGCTGGGCATCGATCAATGCCTTTGTGCACCAAGTATGAACATGTGTAAAACTGTACAGATGCAGCATCACTTCACTATTTTTTGCTGGTGCAGAAGAGCATGGTAATCCTAAAGCCGAGAGGACCACAGCACCCAGGCTGGGCCACAGCCACCAGAGGGCAGTGGCTCCAGACGGGGCTGCACCCCATCCCACAGGGGCTCAGGAACACAAGGCCACTGGCACCAACTGTGGGATCTGAGCTGCCCTGGGCAATCAGGCAAGAGCATGCTTTCAGCCACCATAGTCGAGAGAGGACCCCTCGAGACCCCTCTGGGCATTACCTCCTCAGCGCCAGTGACCGAGTATGCGTGCCCCTTCACCAGCTTCTGGAAGGTGACAGCCTCCGAGTCAGCAGCACTGGTGATCTGGGGATGGAGAATCAGTGGCCTGCCCTCTGGTTCTAGTCTCCACCCGGCAGGAGGACACAGAGCTGCCCTGCACCTGGAGGGCCTCTGTAGGCTGCCAGGGGTGGGAAGGGTGCACTGCAGGGCAGGAGGGGACACCCCAGGGTGGGAGGGGACACTGCAGGGTGGGAAGGGCATGCCACAGGGTGGCTGGTGGGTTCGGGTGGACACTGACAGCATGGGGTGGCCCAGATGCATCAAGTCCCCTGAAAACTGGTTTGGCCCAGCTGGCTGCACAGTTCACACCAGGACAGTTTTGTTTCCAGCCTGCCTTTGGAATTTGCTTCTGTTCTATCAGAACTTCCTCAACACCACACCTATTCTGATGCAGGTTATTTTTGTCTTGATGAATGGGAAGAAGGCTTCCAGGAGGAAGGGTCTTTTGCCTCAGCGTGGTCTGCAGGAGGTGGCTAGGAATCCTGGCCTGGAGTTAGAGACTTCATGCCACGAGCCAGGTTCTTAGCTCTGCCCAGAGGGACCAGGTCCCAGATGGGACAGGGCCCAGGAGCTGGTGCGCAGGCTCCGTGCGGACAGGACCTGGTGCCTACCTCCCTTCCTCTGGCAAGGCTGCCAGTTCAGCTCAGTGCTTTCCAGCGGCTTTCTGCCATTAGCCCTGCAGGGGGAGGCAATTGGGCTCTGCACAGGCCCTGCAGACTGGGAGGTGTCTGCAGAGATCTCTCCCTTGGGACCAGCAGAGGGCAGGGGCTCTCAAGGGACCAGGGCTGCCGTGGTGACTTGTAGGAGGTGGAGGGTGGTAAGCAAGCAGGCGTCACGGCATGGCCACTGCAACCAGACAGCCTGGCTGTGCCTAGCTGCCCCCGGGCTCTGGGTGATGTGTCATATGGTGGACAAAGGATGGCGGATCAGGTAAATGAGGACCATGGGTTTCTTGGGGCGCCTGGAGACTCAGCTCGCCTCAGCTGCAGCCAACAGGGTGGGTCTGGGAGGGGGCCAGGACTCACATCAATGGAGCAGCCCAGGAGAGAGCCTTTCTGCAGGGCCTTCTGGATGATCTGGAACAGGTTGGGAGGGGCCTTTCTCAGCTCATACCACTCAGCAATGCCTCCGGTGAAGTCCTCAAAGCCCTCGGTGGTGGCACCCCCGGAGAGTGCTTCATAACACCCGTTGATCCTAGGGATGGAGACACGCTGTCCACACTGAGGCTTCTCAGTGCCCCGTGCTCCCCGGGGGATGCTCCCGGGGCCCCTGTGCACGTTCCCCTTGGCCTTAGCTCCAACTCAGTTGCCTAAGGGCAGCTTCCAACTCATTCCTCCACAGGTACCTTCCTCTGGTACTCTGCAGTTCTGAAAGACCCGTAGAGCCTTAGATAAGAAGGTCCTGGCTGATTTTCTAGTTTGGCGCCACATACTGACTCTACATCCTGATTGGAAGCCTGGCTGTTTGGCATTTACGCTTTAAAAGAGCTGACAATTAATGAAAGTAGGGTCCCTGCACAGTGGGCAGTAGGAGGGGCTGCAAATGGCTGGCCCGGCTTCCTGTGGCTTCTCTTGCTCTACTCTAAGCAAGGGACTCAAGAGCTCTCAAGCTCTCATCCTCACACCTGGGTAGGAGACCTCTGGCCCTCCTGCTCGCAGGCACTTTACAGAATAGAAGGGCGGTAGATCTGGTCCCATCACTCTGATACTGGGAGTCCAGGCAGCATGGGTGGGAGGCAGCTGGAAGGGACATGGAGCACCACTTGCGATCGACACCACATGTTCTGGGCACATGACCACAATCCTCATGCCTCTCCAACGGGTAGTTGTGCCCACTGGCAAAAACTCTTTTCTGTATTTAGCTGACAAAAACATGACATGCCCTGCCAGGAAACCAGAGGTCCTTCCCAAGTCCAGCATGATCAGTTCCTGTGCACCTGGACACAGACAGCAATTGCGGCCATTGACCAGGGCGCAGCATGGCCAGGCACCCTGCATACACTATCTCCTTGAATTCAGGGCCCAGTTTTGGCCCAAGCAGAACAGGACTTCTGCTCAAGTAGTCCTTGAATGACTCCTGTTCTTCCCAGTGTCGGGGGCTGCTGGGGGAAGGCTGCCCAGGGAAGGTCACAACCACTTACTTGGCATAGGCCTTCTCCAGCAGCGCGCTCCAGAACTCACTGCCCTCGGCCGAGTGCACGAAGAGCAGCTCCCCATTCTTGGTGGGCAGCCGGTCGTCCACCACCACCTCCAGCCACTCGCCATACTGCCAGAACTGGGGAGAAGGGTGGGAAGGGGTGGCCTGGGTGGGCTGGAGGACCTGAGCCCCAGTGACACCTGGATCCTTCCTGCCCTGAGCCCTGGGAGCAGGCTCTGTGCCCCTTCCTGCAGGAGACGCTGCCTCTAACTCTCCTCCTGCCGGCAAGTCCTCACTGGGGAGCTGAAGACAGCCTGTGTCCTTCTTCTCAAGTCCACACCCACCTCTCTAGCATTCCACTCTATGCCTTATGATTTTTAAAACACTATTTCTCATTTACCAGCACGTGAGCCACGCTACGACATTTGTCTCAGACCCCAAACAATCAACTTCTGTAAGACTTAGGGATTACTTCCTGTGTGCCCCGCTCTGCCTCCCACTGCTACCCACGCAGGGCCCCACGTCAGCGTCCTGCTGTCTTCAGTGTCCCTGCCACAGAACTGGTCCTAGTCTGCAACAGCAGGGCCTAATGACCTCAGCCAAGCAGAGCACCTGCACCCAGCCCCTGGGGCCCACTCCTGGCACCCAGGACCTGTCCTCAGCCCCGGGAACCCATTCCCGGCCCCCAGGCCTGTTGAGGAGAGCCAACCACCAGTTACCTGGAAGTGGAAGATTCCTGCATAGTCCTCCTGAAAGCTCTGGTTTAGGGGGACAACTCGAGCCAGGATCTCTTCATTTAAGGTGAGGGAGGCGATGGCTGCCAGCAGCCAGCAGTCACCTGTGAACACAGCACAAGGAGCTCCCTCAGAGCACCTCAGTGCAGGAGGGTGTGCCACACCTCCCCCCACTCTGGGAGCACGCTGCCTAAGGTGTGCCAGGGGAAGGCAGGATGTCCACACAGCACTCCTGTGATGGCGGGCAGGCAGTCAGGCAATGCTTGAAGGGAAATGCTTTGGCTGTGACAGCCATTGGTGGAAGACGGGAGTGTGACGTGCCTAGCCCTTCTGCCCAGCTATAAACCTGACTGGCTACCTGTTACCTTTACTTGCTCCAGTTAACTCAGACCAGAAAGAGCTGTCTTGGGGGCCTCAGGGCCTGACTGTGGTCAGCTGAAGGTGAGTCCCCAAAGCCCTGGCTGCTTCTCCACATTCAGGCAGTGCCCTTCTCCACCCACTCTGTCCCAGAGTGGAGCCCAGCCACAGAACCGTGGGGCTCCCAGGGCCTCTGGCTGCTGCTGGGGTCTGACCAGTGGCTGCTCCAGAGAGCAGAAGGGAGAATGAGATCAAGGTATTTCACCCCTGCCCCACCTTGGTGAGCTCAGCAGAGCTGGGTCCTTGACTGTGTGGCACCTGCACATGACCCACGCACTCCCATGCCTAGAATCCTGACAACTGCCCCCTGCTCTTCAGGGAGGGGCTGGTGAGGCTCTGGGCTATGGTTACAGAAGGCTGTTTACATCCAATGTAGTTCAAGACTTCTTGGCTGGTGTGGTCTGTCCTGCAGCCGCTTCCCTTATTAACTGACTCCAAGAGTGCCATCTGGCCTGGAGAGCCCTGGGCAGTCATCTACCAGAGCTATAGGGAGGTGTAGGAACCTGCAGGCTCCCAAACACCAGGAATGAGAGCCGAAGGCTGGGAACTTTAGGTCCATGGAAGGTGGAGGGGCTGGAGGTGGGGGGAATGAGCTTGGTCACCAAGAGTGCCAGTGGGTGAGGCACCAGGCACAGAGCAATTGGCCCCTTGGGCCCCCACAGTCACACCGGGCCTTCAGTCATAAGGGAAGCACTCCTTGATGGACTGGGGGCCCACCCAGGGTGGGTGGGAATGAGCCTGGACTTGCGTTGAGACCCAAGTTGAAACCTAATCCTGCTTCTGACTGTGAATGTGGACATGTCTTAGTTTCCCTGACCCCTTTTTCTCAGCTGTGGAAGAGGGGAAGACATCCCCAGGAAGATGGGGCATGAACACAGGGGTCCGTGGCCCAGACTCAGAAAGCTGGACCTAAATGTTTGGTAAAAACACATTGTCTGCATTTTTCTGGGCTAAGGAGTCAGGTTTCTCTGCCACCCCCACCCCCGAAGGTCAAGGAACACTGGAGCCAGGACCTCAGCAGCCCTGTATAAGGAGTGGGTTTAATGGTGAACTGCTTTGGGGTGGAGAATTAAACAGGAGAAATTGGGTAAGGCATTAGTATGGTGTCTCCAAGTGCTGTTTATCTTCTCACTTTACAGGGGAGACAAGTGCAGTAAGAGACAGTCTCACCTGAGGAGAGGTTGCGTGCCTTGCTGGCCACGTGTGCTGTCCTGCCTGGTGGGGCCTGCCCAGGCGGCAGCTCATGTGGGGAGGGTAACAGAGTGTGGGCAGGGAGGCATGTGGCCCCCCAGTGTCTATGAGGCCTGTTTCACCATCTAGGGCCTCTGTAAACTCTTAAGAAGTTGGGGGTCCACATAATGAGCAGATGAAGGCAGGGGACCAGGTGCAGATGAGGCTGCAGACACAAATGCATTTACTCAAACCTGGGAGGGCCCTGCCCTGCGTCCCTCGGGAGCCAGGCTGCCTGCTTCCCCTTGCCTGCTGCCTGGTGACCACTCTCAGGCATGCCTCGGCGGGGGTCTTCCCACAGCAGCTTTACTGCTTCTGTGCCTCTGGCAGGTACTTATGGGATGACTTAGTCACCTGTTCAGGACTGTTCAGTGACAGTGACAGGACTGCTCTGCCCCCATACCTGCTGAGATCCCGTAAGCTCCTGGCCTCAGGGGAATCCCCTCCAAGTGCAAACTATCCCCTTCTTCCAATTCACTTGGGAAAGGCAGTTGGGGCTATCTGTTGGATCCTGAAGTCCCACTGCCTCACCTTCCCACCTCAGTGAAAGTTGACTGACTCCAGTGGGCTGCCCTGCCCTCCCTCACCAGGTGCACTCGGCCGCTCTCTGCAGGCACTTGGGCCCACAGCACCAAGAGGACACAGCAGCCCAAGCAGGCTTATAAATGGCTCCATTTTTTTTAAATGGCTCCTTTTTAAGCTCCAGAGCCCTCTTCTAAAAAGATACATTCATGCAAGTCAGTAAATTTCCAGAGCTGTGTTCCTGTGCCATGTGGTGTCCTGAGGTCAGCTCTGTCCACTGGCCGCAGCCACCTGGGGCCCACCGTGCAGGTGGGATGTGGCTGCAACACTGCTACTTATGGCTCTGTTTCTCCAAGAGGGGAGCATGTTTGTTGCATGCTCTCTCCTTCCCCTCCACTGCTGTCTGTCTTTCCTCCCAGACAGGAAAGTGGAGGAATCCAGGATGCCAGGTTTCCAGCCCACAGGTCCTGCTGCAGCTTGTCATCCTAGAGCACAGCTGCCACTTGACAGGTCCAGAACAGGAGTTCTGTGGGGCAGGCTGTGCCGTAGTGGAGCACATGCTCATGAACCACACACACACTGCAAAACACAGGCTGAGGAAGGCCATCTTAGAGAAAGAGCAGAACACGAAGCCCAAGTCCTGGGAGCCCTTGGGCCTCCGCACCCCTCACTGTGGCACCTATGATAAAAATGGCTTTTAAAAATTATAATTTAAAAATCATTTAAAATTACTTACAACATTTAAAAGTAAGGAGAAATAGGGAGAGGTTTCCACCATAAGCTGAATAAGGCCACTGGTGATAACACTGTATTGTACAACTGAAATGTTAGAGTGGAAATTAAATGCTCTCAGCAAAACAGAGACAAATACATGGAGAAAATGTTTTTAAAACGGAAGAGTGTGTTGCAGCTGCCCATTCAAGACCCCCTCGCCTGTGCAGCTGCCCCCTTGTGGCCATCCAGCTGCCCCTTGGCGACTGTCATCTCTTCTAGTTCTCCTTCCTGGGCGTGACTATCTGTGTGTGACCCAAATATAGCTAGCACCAAGTCTGCCCTCCCCCTTCCTGACACTTCGACCCTTATAGAGACAAGGTTCTGGTTTCCAATCCAGATTATCTCCTTTCCTTTCTTGCCTACAGTTTGGTGAAGGGACTTTGCGTCTAGCTGGGCTCGGGAATAACCACGGCCCTTGACCTTGCTCAGGATGCTTCGGTTTGCCAAAGCTGTTTGCTTGCATGACCTCACTTGTCACCATGCCGGGGAAGGGGTGCTTCCCATTCTGCAGGGAGGCTCAAGTTGGACAACCTCTGAGGTTACTCAGCCTCATAAGCACTGGAGGGAGCAGGGCCTGAGCTGTAGGGAGGGGCCCCTGGAGCCAAACATCTCCATGCAGGTGACTCATGGAGTGGAAGCAGGACAACTCACCTCTGGGGGCCCGGAGAACATCTGCCAGGTTTCAACAGCCTTGACAGTGCTGGTGGCCTTGAGCCTCCCCTGCAAGGCAAGCCTGTGGGGGCACCAGGCCAGGGCAGCTGCCATTCCCCAGAGCTGAGGGAGCAGCAGGGGCCTGTGGCAGGGGGGAGGGGCAGCGGGAAAGCTCAGTAGAGGCACAGTCAAAACCTGAGGTGGGAGGAACTCAGCTTTTGCATTTCCTGGGCCTTCAGCAATACCTTAAGAACAGCTGGCTACAAGCAATTCCAGACCCAATTTAGCTGCAGGGCCAGCCTGCAGAGGCTCAGCCTGAGTTCCCAGTTCCCCACCCCACCAAGGATGGGCAGATTTTTCTTTGCTGACTCAACTCAGCACCAAGGTCTGCAGCACAGGCGGCTCGGGCAGCCTGCAAAAGTGGTCTGAGTTACTTTGGTGAGGCTTCAAGCTGGGCCTTCAGGGAAGAGGGTGGAGTTTGTGCATGAACTCTCGGCAGCTCTGTGAAGGCCGCCGGGGCACTGGAAAACATGCAGCCTAGAGTCAGTGCACCCAAGACCACTACGAGCTGAGTCTCAAGTGACAGACAAGCTGGCCAGGCTCTGACCCTCTGGAACAAGGTCTGCACTCAGTGCCAGGAGCGAGGATGACTTTAGCATAGCTGTATGCCCCATTCCAGGGGGTCTCTGAGGTTACCTCCTTCACCCTCTTCCCCTCCTACTCTTAGAGGAGACAGTCTCCAAGTGACCACTTGCCTGCGGCCTCCTAAGATCGAGCCTTGGCTGTCCTCCCTGTGGTGGGACCAGGTGTTGCTGTTCCTGATACTCTTGAGCCTGCTGGGACTTGGTGACAGTCACCATGCCACCAGCATCCTGTGCCAGAACCAGGATGAGAATCCAGTCAACCATACTTCACAGACTGTAACAGAACCAGGACCCTCCAATGTAAAAGGCCAAGAGAACAAAAAGCCAACATGGTGTAAACACCTTAGAAATTATGGACCAGTTGCTGAGAGTTTGGTACATATCATAGTAATTCTATAGGAATGCAAGCTTTGCCTGTCCCCTCTCCAAATGTTCTGTCAAGTATTTAAAAGGGACTTAAATCTTATATTTGTTATTGCAGTTGGGCCCTTAAGATGTCATTAAACTGTGAAGTAAGTGTTTAGCTCAGGTGTAGAATTTCACCTGCATGTAGAACGTGGCTCAGGTGAGACAGCTGCTGTTTGCAGAACCAGTGAAGGCTCAGGGTGGGTCAGTCTTCATCCACTACCGACCCTGTGAACTTCCATTTTCTCTGACCAGTGGGTTTTCCTGGAGCACCCACCTTTGGTGCCCAAGGACCCTAGGCTTCTGTCTTTTGAGGGGAAAAGGCGAGAAATGGGAGAGGCATTTTCTGCAGGTAGGAATATGCTCTGGTATCTCAGGAATCTGCAGAGGCTGAGCTGAGACTAGGCTGGGCCATGTTCTCTCTGAGAGGCATTTCCTCCCAGGGTGCCCATTTCATAGCTGCACAAGGCTGCCCTGACAGCCTTGGGGGTTGAAACTTTTCCAGGCCCCCCTCTAGGGAGTCTAGCTCAGGTGTTTAAAAACAGTTCCTGGAGTCAGACTGTATTTGCATCCCAGGCCCCCCCACTTGAGCTGTGTAAACAAGTTATTCCCAGGACCTCAGCACACTCATCTGTAAAATGGAAAATAATCACAGAAGCCCAGGGTTACTGGGCACCAAAAGTGAACCCTCCAGGAAAACTGATTGGTAAGAGCAAATTAGAGATTTTGCAATCATGGCTTAGTGTCTGGCACATAGTATGCATTCACTAAATTATTAGCTGTTATTATTCTAAGTATCAGAACCTCTACTAGGTGGGCCAGGAAAGGAAGTACAATTCAAGCTGACTAAGTTTGTTATTGATGGACTCATTGGAGGAGCAAGTGGAAGCTGAGGGCAGGAAACAATTTTTCATTTACTGGAGTATGTAAGCTGCTCTAAGAATCATAACCCTGCATTTATTATGCGCACAGAAGATTGAGGGTGGATTCTATGAGAATCTTAAATAACGGCTGTTAGGACTTCTTCAAAGATGCCCTGGGGGCTTTCATACCAAAGCTGGAGACTCTATAGCTTCCAGTCTCAGCAAACACCTTATCCAGAGGAAGCCATAGCTCAGCTTCAGCGAGCAAGGATGCAGACCCTCCCAATTCAGCCACTCCAGTTAATCTTACTTAAATGAGCATCACAACCACCTTTCTATCTTTCTGACCATATGCACTGCTCCCCACTGTTGTGACACCATGGCAACTCATCTTGCAAACACTAAGAGCACACTGGTCCTTTAACTTCCTCTAGGCTGCAAGCATCTGGGTTTCCTCTTCCTTCCCACTGAGTCACTGTCCCTGAACCCCATGGCATGGATGCATCAGAGCTGTCATTAGCTTGGGGGGCCCTCCCACCTGGCCCTTGGCCCAGGCCTGGCTGTTTCATGGCCACTAAGAACGCTGGCCCAGGAGGTACAGAGGCCAAGGGGAGGCTGAAATCCAGAGGCTCCCCCATCCTCTAGGGAAGCATCTTTGTAACTTCAGTGACTAGCCCAGTGCAGGGGACACAGGAGGTGTCAGTGCACGTGTGGACATCTTATGTCTCAGCACAACACCTGGGGTTCAAGACATTTTAGAAGCTTCTGGAGATGGAAACCACCAGGCTGCTTGGGAAGGGCGAGGGCCATCACCCCTGACCCCTCCTCCCCACTGCCCTACAGGTAACACCCCCAGCCACCGTAGATGGATGCATCACTCACCCAGGGCTCCTTGGCAGATGTCCGTGCGGGTGGCCCCTCCAACAATAAACTGGGGGTCGTCGCAGATCTCCTGGAATGAGACCCACGAAGTGCTGTCAGTCGACCACATATGCTTTTTCAGTTAGGATGCCTCAGTTCCTAACAGGGGCTTCAGACCCCACCTCCCTCACCTGCCCTCTAGGAGAGCTTTGCAATTAGTCAGATGCCGTGGGACGCTTCTCTGACCTTGCTCCATGGGTCCCCGAGGGGGTGGTGCAAGGCCCCCAGCTGTCCAGAGCCCACTTCGTGCTTATTCTCAGGGCCATGCAGCACCAGATCCAGCTCCTCTGCTGGGCGTCCAGACCATCTACACTCTGGACCTGTCCTGCCCGCCACGCTAGTTCCACCACGCTAGTCCCTGCAGGCTGGTTGTTGTCCTGCATGGAATTCTCTTCTCACCCTGTTCTCTACTTTTTCACACTTCACTGTATTTCAAGACTCACTGTCACCTCCCCCATGAAGCCCTCCTCCACAGTCCAGCCCTTACACATCTCTTACATTCTGAGCCCCAAACTATTTGTCCCCCATAATGTGGTATTGAGTTGGACACTGCCTGGTGGCACCAGGGGCATCACTCTGTCTTCCTAACACCCCACATCTTGAGAACAGGAAAATGCGTGTAGCCTTCCAAACCCATCACAGGGCCAGGAACTGGAGCCCCTGTACATCGTGAACCTGCCAACAACCTGTGTACGGGGGCCCTCGGGAACAAGGTGGGTGTTGGCCACATGTTACAGGTGAGCAAACAGGCTCAGGAGCTAAGCAAGAGCCCAGTTACGCTGCTTGTCTGTCGCCACTGGCTCTGGGCTCTGCAGCTACCCCCGTGAGGTGTGCACACTGCCCCCTCTGCCCCCACTGATCAGTAACAAACTGCTAAGGGTTAAACCTCGGGACTGTCCCCCAAGCAGCCTGGCTGTGGAACACTCTGGCCCCTCAGCAGCCCTCCTCATTGCTTCTGCATTCTGAAGAGCCACACCCCAAGACCACAGAGGAAGTCGGCAAAAATCAGATTGAGGCTGGCCTGGGCAGCCTCAGGAGAGGGCCCCAACCCACACTCTGCCTTCTGACAATTTCAACGTGACCATGGCCCCGCCAGTACCCTTCTGGAGCCGAAGTCTGCAGCAGAGTGCATTCCCTCCGTGTCCTGGCATGGTCCCTGCTCAGGTCACTCTGTTTTGGGGACAGGGATAGTGAGGAATCAAAGCCTGCTCTGGCTGGCCAGCCAGGAACTTGCTCAGCTGATGGCACGGACTGGGCTTGGTGCCTGGAGGCCAAGAATCACTCACAATTCTCAGTGCACCAGGCACTTACCCCAGAAGGATTTTTCCATCAAGTCCCAGAAACTTTTTCATACCTTTGGCACCTTTCCAAAGGCAGCAAAAGTCAAGAGTGGCCTGTAGAGGTTCTTTGAAAAACGGCCTTGTGCGTGGTAGGTAGGGATGGAATTAAACATGGAAGGCAACTGAGGAAGTGCATGTGGCTTTGTGCCTTGCATCCAGACACCCTGGGTTTGAATCCCAGCACTGCCACCTCCTGTGGGTTCTAGGGCCTTGGCAAATCACCACAGGGCTTTACGCCTGTTCCTCTTCTGTAAACTGGGGATGGCGAACACCATGTACCTACCACGTAGGGTTGTTCTGAAGGTGAAGATAACCATGAAAATGTACTCTGTTACCTGTTATTACTAAAGTTACCTATTATAGTTTTATTATTATTAAACAAGCTGATGATGACAATCACTGACAGAAGGCAGGGGATGTGGGTTTGGGGCTGAGCTCAGCCTGAGTATAAGCAAGCAGTGAACCTGCTGAGGCTTGGCTGTGTCAGAGGAAATGGGGACCAATACCGCCTGCCCTTGCTGGGACCTGGTGTCATCCTCGGACCACATTGGCTTTTCCTCTCGGTGCTCCATGTGGGCCCTGGGGCCTCACGGTGACTCACCATTTCCCCTTCTGCACCCTCCCAACCTGGAGCCTCTGAGGCGCAGTCCCTCCTGCCCTGCCTGCGCCTGCCCACACCCCCCACGCACTCTCACTTCCTTAGACTGGGTGTCATCATTTCCATCCTGCCTTTGTCTCTGGTCCCTTCTTCTCTGGTGACCCCTGAAAATGCTCTCCTCTGAAAAGGCCTCTCAAACCCCATCCATCACCCTATTTTCTGATACCCTTCTGAAATCAATGGATCACATTCTTCCTCTGCATTCCTCACTTTGAAGTCTATGCCATCTAGTTTCTCCCCCACCTTCCCACTGCAAAGGACTTGCTAATGTCCAAATCCAGGGGCATTTTTGTTTCCCTCGCCTGACCCTGACCCCAACCACAGCAGCATTTAAGAAGGCAGGTGGGAGGCACAAGGCGCAGCTCTCCACACCCGCAGGCTGACACATCCTGGCTCCACCCCAGACATCTGTTTGAGCAAATATTTAACCTTTCCAACCCTCACTTTCTTCAGCTGCTGAATGGGAATACAATAGCCATACCCCACCTTTGGTTGTGTAGTACACAGCCTGCTCCACCCTGCACAGGGGCCCTGAAACGGCGCCAGATCTCTATTTCCCCATCTGGAAGTCCTACAGCAGTTCCACCTGTCTGTTTCCCTTCAGGGGCCCTCAAGTCAGAGGCAAAAACTAGGTGCACTGTGCCTGGCATATAGTAGGTGCTCATTAAATGCTTACCTAATGAATGAATAAGTAAAGGACTGTGAAAATTTGCTTTGTAAACTGTAAAATGCTAAACGTTAGTTGCACACACTTTCTCGTTTCTCACCTTCACAACCAGAGTCTCATTCGAGGCCTGTTACAACCTGGCACCATTCATTCACTCACTGCACAAATGGCCAGTCCTCATTCACAGATGTAGCCCAAGCATTCAAACAGCACTGGACATTCAGTAGGTACTCAGTAAACATTGGAGAATGACAAATGAGTGAACGCATACGTGGAAGGCCACTTGCCCCTCTGGGACTGGGGATGGGGACACTGGCGAATAAGACAAAGGGTCAGAGGGGAGGACACACAGATAGGTGCAGTTATAAATTGTGAAAAGACCATAGAGGAAATCAGGTTTGGTGGCTGCTAAGGAAAGATGTCTGTGGGAGGGACATTTAATTCTCCCAGGGAAAATGAGCCAGACTTTGGAAAAGAAGGAGATGGGTCCTGGCAGGTGAGGCAAGTGCCTTTGGGAAAGGGAGAGGAGACCAGGGTGTCTGGGCCTGGAGAGACACTGGGCACAGAATATGCAGGCATCGCCCCTTCTTGTCAAGAAGACCTGGAAGCATGGGGTCGGTTCCAACAGGTTAACGTCAAGTGAACCCAGGTGCTCCCACCTCCGTGCTGCACTTGCTGTGGGTGGGCTGGGTCTGGGGTCACTCCAGGAGAAGCAGCAGGAATGATGCACAAGGGGAATCTGGGGGCTGGGCGGGTGGAGAAGCCTGTAGGGGTGGCTCAGCCAAGGACATGGTGAGTTGGCGCTGGCTCTTTGCTGCATCCGCCCGTCCGTCTGGGACGAGAAACTCTCACTGGGTACCTCTACCACCACGCCTGACACAGTCCTGAATTAAATAACCACCGGGATCCTTTCGGCTCCCTGGCAAGCACAGAACCGAGTTAGACACGGCTTTTCCAGCTCTCGAGACAGCCCCTATCAGCCCGCCCGGCGGGCCCTCCGCTTCCGTCGCCCTGTGGAGTCCAGGGTTTCCCCAGGTTCCTTAGGTCACTGATGTTGGTGAGGTCGCGGCGGGCCTGTAATGGGGTTCAGGACAGAGCGTCCCGCTCCCCCCACCCACCCCGGGCGCGTCGCGGGGGTCAGGCCCAACCTCTGCTGGGCGCCCGGAGGCCCCCAGGAGTGGCCCGCGTAGGATGGGGTGGCGGGACTGGGCCGAGAGTTCTGCGCTCCAAGGCTGCGCCCCGTGATCCCCGCGCCCCCGGCTCGCCGCCTACCGTGGGCCGCTTCCACTCGATGCCCTGGGTCTTGCTAGAGTAGGGTCCCAACTCCTTGAAGCCCAGGGAGGAAGGGGCGGCCGGGAAGGAGGGGTCCTGGAAGAGCGCCCCGGCCTCCAGGCACTCTGCGCGCAGCGCCTCGTAGTCCTCGTTCAGGTACTTGATGGCCCTCTCGTGCGAACCCAGTCCTTCGGCCGCCTCGCGGTCCCTCAGCAGCCTGGCCGCAATCCCCGCCATGGCCCCGCGCCCCTGCTGTGCTCCGCGAGGGTCCGCCCTGCGCCCGCCCGCCGCCTCTCAGGGAAGGCTTCCCCGGGGCGGGGCCTGGGCCGCTGCGCCTGCTGGGCCGGCGGGCGCGGCCCGGGGACTGTCCGTTGGCCCGGAGGGCGCGGCGTGGGGGCGTTCCGGTGGCTCCGCAGACCCAGTCCTGCGGGGAGGGAGGTGGTCCGAGCGATGCTGGGCAGGCGTGGCTCCAGGAAACACCCTGAGTCAGCGGGTCGGGAGCGGGCCCAGGAGGCGCATGGGGCCCGCTTGTTCCAAGCGCTGCTAATAGCTTTGCGGCGCAGCTCATTGCATCCCTTAGCCGCGCTACAGTCTCTATGGTGCGAATGCGGAAACAGACTCCGGAAGGCCAAATGGCTTTACCCAGGGTGGCAGAGCGGGGATTGTGCCAGAAGGCCGGTTACAGTCACGGTGATACACTGCTACCGTCTGCTGTTTGAGCACAGACAGGGGTGCCAGATCTGGCAAATGGAAATACATCCTCCCAGTTAAACGTGAATTTCAGGTAAAAGTAAAGCCACAGGCTCAAGGACCAGTGCTGGGCCAGGTTGCCCAACCGGGGATAAGTGCCTAGCCTAACTGCTGCTCACCCTCCCCAGAACTGTGGGCTTGGTCAGTCAGGAATTTTTGGCCAGCACCCACTAGGTGATCCTCCCACAGCCCTCTCCTACCCCCAAGAAGGTGAAGAGGTGATCTGCTCTCCCTCCTAGGGATTGTGGCCAGGCTTAAAACAACCCCAATCTCTTCTGTTGGTAATAACTTCTTGCCACTCCCTCCTGCCTATAAAAATCTTCCATTTGTACAACTCCTGGGATCATCTCCCTACCTGCTAGAGGGGTTGTAACTCCAGGGAAAGGAAATCCCGGGACAAAATACCTCTAAAACCAAAATCAGTCAGAGGGAGAAATAAAGTTTAAAACACCTTTATTGCTTACAAACTGCAGTCTGGGGCCATCTCTTTCCTGCTCTGGCAGAAGCAAAACCAGCCCTCCTCCTAACCTCTCAGGTTCAGATAAGCCCTTGGTCACCCAGGTAATTACCCACTTACATGAAGATGAACCGTTCTCCACCCCTGAGGAATGCCTATTGATATGCAGATGTATTAAAGCCAGGGGAGATATTCTGGAAATATTACAATTTTACCCACAGGGGTGCTGCCCCTTTGGTGAATCACTTAGTAAAGCCAATTAGCTCTTCAAATTTACCCTGTTGAATTTTGTTTTTTAACACAAGAATAGGTTTTTAGTATAAGCACATCCCCAGTGTTGAGTAAGGGCATACTTATCTGAATTCATTGATTGGGGAGGATTGAGTATACCTGTAGAGTATCAGAACAATAGCGGTGTTAGGGGCCACTGGGACATCTGTTGGGGAGAGAGCACGAGACTCTCAGCTCATACAGGGAAATGGGTGAGTGCCAAGCAAGGCAGTGGGGTCCCTGTCTCTTTCCCTACACTAATAGGGAAGAATTTGAGTTTCAATGGAAAACTGCATTGTGTAGTGTAGTCTTTCTAAACAGGAGACAAATCTGCCTTCTCCACCCAACCCCAGGAGACATTTGACAATGTCTGGAGACATTTAATAGCTGTGACTGAGGTATGGGGTGCTGCTGGCCTCTGTTATGTGGAGACAGGAATGCTGATAAACATCTTATGATGCCCAGGGCAGCTCCCAAAGCAAAGAATCACCTGGTCCAAAATGTCAACCATGTTGAGACTAGGAAGCCTGGCTCAGAGCACCTCCTTCCAGGTTAGCTGATTCAATGTTTCCTAGTTATTTTACAGCTCGCCCTTGCAGGTAGCTGTAGCACTGCAATGTAGAAATGCAAATTAGTTCTGTCCAGTGAAGGGCTCCCTACTGGGAGAAGCCTCTGAGCCCACTTGAATATTCAATATTCTTTACTTTGTGTAAAATTGTGCTTCCTTGACTTTTTCTTTGAACCAGTTATAACATCTGCTTAGTTGCCTCATTTAAATCATGAGTTAAATGCAATCTCAAAAATGTGTTCATTTTGTATCTATGTGAGAGTCATGATTTACTTTTTTTATAAATTACCTTTTAGCCCAAGGAAGGAAGACCAGATAAGGCTCTGTGGACAAAGCAGCATTTAAGTTGATCTGGAAGGATAGTTTGAGATTTGAATGTTCAGGATTTTTCTGCAAAACAATAATCTGTCAGGAAAAACTTAAGTATTTGTCTTTGGAATTGGAAATAAAAAGTCCTGAGTGTCCTGTGGAATGTTTCAGGGTAGCAAGTTGTTGTCTGGACCTTCCATTGTTTTCAAGCTATTCTAGAGCTCTGTAAAATGCAGAAAATTGATAGTATTGCATATATGCAAATGTGTTTCCTCTGTTGGAAGCAATTAGCCTCCCTTGTTCTCTGCATCTATCAGAAGATTTCAATTCTGCATTCCTAACTGGCTCCTCTTTAGGATTTGCCTTTGAACTGTTTTTATTTTTAACACCTACTGGTTCCCTCATTCATTAATACTTTAAATAAGATATATTCATTTTATATTTGTATGAGAGTCATCATTTTGTTAGGCAGAAAAATAGACATGAGCAAGTGGAAGGAGAATAAAGACAGTAAAGCCCACTAAAAAGGACTCAAACAGTTAACCAGATGAAATAAGAGAGCAAGGAAAGACCCACAGAGTTAATGAGTTAATTAGTTGAAGTTCCAAAGGCCAGGAGTAACTTAGAATGCAGTTCCCCAGATAAAGAAAAGTATCTTAGCGGAGCCCATGTCTTCACTGTGCCAATTAGATCATATCACTGTAAAACCTACTTACCCTGCAAAAAGGTCCAGCTTATTCTGTAACTTTGGGGGGAGATTCCAGGACAAAATACCTTTGAAACTGAAATCAACCAAAGAAACAAATAAAGTGGGAGAAACCCATTTATCTCTTACAGGCAGTTGTCCCACATCTCTCTTGACCTGGCTGCAGAAGAAGAGACCCCCACCCAACCTCTCTGGTCCAGATAATCTCTCAATCACCTGTGTAATTACCTATTGATATATGGAGATGGCATAGTTCTCTCTACCCCTTGGAAACACCTATTGATATGGAGATGCACTAAGGCTAGGCAAGAGATTCTGGAAATATTGCAATTTTACCCACAGCCCACCCCTCAAGAAATCTTGCCTTACAATCTGCTCCTTCCCCATCTTCCACAATGTCCCCTGGGCAAGAAATCTTGAGCATTGTAACCAGACTAATGACATACAACAGCAATGGCAATAAAATCTTGATAATCCTCAAACTGGAGGATTCAGCTAGGTTCAAAATACTACACAGATTAAGTCCATTGCTTGCCCATTCCACAAGCAGTCAGTAGCTGAACAGGTAGTGAGTTTAGAGGACTCATTACATGGCAGCTGCAGCCAGGCGGCGCATGCCGGCCACAGGGACTGTAGATGAAAATAACCGTGATCTTTTGGGGGCCACTCTGCTGTTACTCCAGGAATACACAGGAGGCCAGCTTCCAGGCCTTTACCCCAAGGTGTCAGAAGAGCCAGCCATCACTGGTCCATGTATCGAAATGTCCAGGGCCACATCCACTCAACAGAGTGTCCAGAGTTTAATGCAATTGGGGTTGGAAGCAGGATGTTGCTCTGCTGGCTATATCTTAGCTTCAATAACTCCTCTTTCATTTGTACATACTGTTGTATAGGAGAGGCAGCAATGTGTGTTAGTATATCACAGGGCTCAAGGCTCCTTTTCACAGCTTCTCATCAAATGCCCTGGCACTGTCCATAACAAACTGACCAGCCTCATAGACTATTGGTGTCTGACTTCAGGCCAGATTTCAACAAACCATTGTACCTCTCTATCATGCCTGCCCTGGTAAAGTTATATGGTACATGAAACTTCCATTTTATTCCTAATTGCTTCACCCACCCTTGTAATGCATGTCCAGTAAAGTGGGTGCCCTTGATAACTCGCAATTACCTGCGGCCTGCCATAGGCTGCAAAGAGATGCTCTAAGCCCTTGTTGGTGGTTTGCTAATCTGCACAACGTGCACGAAAAGCAACCATCAGTCCAGAAGCTGTGTCCACACAAGTCATGGCATACAGATATCCTGATATAGGCAGAAGCCCAATATAGTCTATCTGCCACCTGGCAAGGGGTATCAGCCCTTTACTATTGTCCCATGTTGCTGTGGGACTCAGTGTAAGTCCCTCTTAGAGCACACAAGGCACTCCTTCTGGGCTCTGCTGACTTCTTCAAAGGTCAAAAGCAAGCCCCATCGACAGGCTACAGCCCACATTGTCTTTTGCCCCACGTGCAGCAAACACTGATGTAGCCATTGGGGCACATCAGAGGCAGGCTTTCCTTCTAGCCAGTGCACCTGAGCCAATGTGTCTGCTTCATCATTCCCTGGGGATGCCAAAGGCAAATGGGCAGTCACATGATATACAGCCAGTGTAGGCATCTGTGCCATGCCACTCTGTGGCCTTTGGGTCTAGTCTTGCACCCATCCCACAATGTGATAAGTGGTTATTACTTTGGTTGGAGCTGTTCTGGTGATGGGCTCTGTAGCCAGCAAGGTGTGGTACACAGCAGCCTGTTGCTTCTGTATTAAGATGTATCAAACCTCTGCTCCTTTCCATAGTTGTGACTAGAATCCAATAGGTTGGTGTGTCCATTCAAGCTGCTGCCAAAGACCCCATCCATAATCATCTTCAGTTACATGAACATCTAGCTCACAGGGCCTTGATAAGTCCATTACATTCAAGGCCTGTATGGCCTTGACTGCCTGCTTGGCAGCAGTAAAAGCAGCTGCACATTTTATCCCAGTCATACCTGATCCCCTTTCATACCAACCAGCATAAGGGCTTCAGAATTTGTGCCAAGTGCAGGATAAACACTCCCCAGGAGCCCAAAAGACCCAAAACTCTTGTACTACTGCCACAGTGTTAGGGGTAGGGAAAGCCTGGACCTTGTCTATGACTGCTTCAGGAATAACTTTAATTTTACCCAACCAGACAGCCCCCAAGAATTTTACAGACAAACCAGGTCCCTGAACCTTGGTGCTGTTCACAGTCTATCCTTTATCCTGTAGATGTTGCAGCACTCTAGCAACTGCCTCTTCTAAATCTCCAAGAGAATCAGATGTCATCAATGTAGTGTTACAACTGCACCGTTTGCAATTTCTTCCATGTGGCCAAGTCCTGGGCTACAAGTCTGTGACAAATGCTTGGACTATGGAGGTATCCCTGTGGAAGGACAGTGAATGTCCAGTG